GCCGGCTTACTGCCTAAACTAGCAATCGATAATACAATTAAACCATTAATAACACCATTACAGGGGCTTTCTGAAGCGTGCAGGGAGCCAAAGGACTGAGTTGCTCCAACCATTCCCTGTGGATATTAATTAAAATGTACAGCTCACTTATGTTTCACTTAACTTTACTCCCTTCTGTTATTCATACCTTCAGTAACTCTGTGATATATGCTGTCAGACACCCTTATCTGAGCCATGGCAAAGACCCAATTTTACAGGCTTGTTTAAAAGCCAAAAGACAATTGCAAAATACTATATGTGTAAGGGAGATTGTGCAAGTGATTTTTCACAATTTTTTTCTGGCCGTTTTGTCATGCATTTGAGCCACTTGACCTGATATGCAACTGAGAACATGACTGGAGTGTGTCAGAGCATGTGAGAGAAAGCCAGTATGATTGCACATATTGGTTACATTATTTTCTGGCTTACACTGGACAATTACAATAGGATTATTTTTCTTCCTCAGTGGGTTTAGAACCCCTAGTCCCAAGCATTACTGTTGACATGCCCTAAGAGATGCTAATGAGTGCAGACCTTTGGGTAGTGTGGGCGGCATATAAATTAAATAAATAAATAAATTTCCAGTGCAAACAAAGTGAAAAAGTGTCAAATCAGGACTGCAGTTGATTATGAAGAACACAACAATTGTGACTACAGAAGATGTATATAACTGTAATGTCCACTATTTTGAAGTTGTTGAAGACTTTGTATAGCTTGGTTCAATCGTCAATCTAAAGGGAGACTGCAGCCAAGAAATCAAAAGAAAGCTGAGACTCAGGACAGCAGCAATGAAGGAATTAGAAAAGATATTGTATTGTATTCCTGATCACTATACATGAGTGTGAAAACTGGACAGTGAAGAAGGCTGACAGGAATAAAAATTGATTCGTTTAAAATATGGTGCTGGATGAGAGCTTTGTGGATACCTTAGTGTGCCAGAATAACAAACAAAGCAAAGCGTGCTGCTTATATACCGCCCCATAGCGCTTCAAGCACTCTCCGGGCGGTTTACAATTTAATTATGCAGGCTACACATTGCCCCCCCAGCGAGAGTGCCAGAATAACAAACAAGTGGGTTCTACATGAAATTAAGCCTGAACAATCTCTGGAGGCAAACATGATGAAACTAAGGTTGTCCTGTTTTGGGCACATAATGAGAACGCATGGCTCTCTTAAAAAGACAACAATGCTAGTAAAATTTGAAGGCAGCAGGAAAAGAGGAAGACCAGATACAAAATGGATTGAGTTCAGACTTGAGTTTACAAGAGCTGAGCAGGGCTCAGGACATTTGAGGACAGGACATTCTGGAGATCACTCATTCGTGAGGTAACCATAAGTCATAGGCAACTTGATGGTATGTAACAACTAGAAACATAGAGATGGGATTTTCAACATTCTAGGACTTCTAGTCCCAAAAGTCACTCAGAATCTCCTAGACAGGCTTCCATGACTTGGGAGAGGAGAAAGCAGAAGGCAAAAGTGGTATCTTTCTACTGCCATAGTCTGAATCATTCCACATGCATCAGCTGGGAAGTAGTAAGAACACCCAGTCAGTCCCACTGCTTGCTGGGAATTGCCCTAGTGCACCATGGGGAGGATTCGGTGAGAGGCTCCCCCTATAATGGATAGAGAGACTAACCTCTCCATAATGAATTAGAGTGATTCCCAGCAAGCACTGGGAGTGTGGGGTGTGTTTCTTTCCCCCAGTCAATGCCTATGGAATGAAGCAGGCAATTGCAACAAAATGGCCTCTCTTTTACCTTCTTCTTTCTATTTTCCTTGTCCCCAAAGTCTGCCAGGATGATTCTAGGTGACCTTCAGGACTGGAAGTCCAGGAATTCCAAAATTCTGATCCCTGCCTGGGTGGTCTAGACACAGACAGAGCCTGAGAAAACAATGGAAGAGGCCCTGGCCCAAATCCCAACCCTAAATGGCAAGTCCTTAGCTGACCAGGCCTCCATTCCCCATAACACTCTTTGTGCTTCTTAGGCCTGATCCCATCCTGGGATAGTCTGCCGTACTCCAGGAGCCCCATGTCACTGGGAGTTTTTGTGCCGGTGCCAGCGGTGTGCCTGCCAAGAGCTCCTGGATAGGTAACAAAAGGGCCAGGCCTGAGGAGACAGTACTCTCCTTTTCAGGCTCCCTGCTGGGTGAGAGGGGGTGGCGCTTGAAGGAAGTAGTCCCAGGCTGGGCATATTGACAACAAGTATCGTTCCGCTCCAGCCCTTGTTGGACCCAGGCATTCAGCAGGAGTGATTCTTGGACCTGTAATTTCTTGTTGCCTGGCAGTCTGTTGTCTGAGAGGAACATTGGTGCATGCTCTATATAGGCCTCCTCTGGAGGGATTTTCATAAATTATGCTGTGTAGGCACTCCTTGTTTCCTTCCCTGTGTTGTGCTCAGAAGTGGCCCTCGTGAGCACCGCAAAGGAATTTAGTTAAATTGAAGTTGTCCCCTAGGGTAAAAAAAGAGTTTCTTCATCTTGGTCTGAAGGAAAGGCTGGGGACCTACAGTAATGGGGTTGCTATGTGATTATCACAAACCAAATTTGAAAATGCCTCTCACACCCTGCTTTTCTGTCATTATTACAATGGCCATAGACAGGCTCTTCCTTCTTTTCTCCTAAATTCCTTGCCGATAGATCACCTCAGTGACTGACAACCTAATTTCTCAAAGACAAAGATTCCTCTATCATTAAAACAATGGTCATGATCTTCTCATGTTGGCAAGTCCATAAAATGGGGTGAAGGAAGGAAGGAAGGAAGGAAGGAAGGAAGGAAGGAAGGAAGGA